AGTTCAAGAAGGAAATATGTCAGACATATGCCTGGGCATGCTTAGCTCAAGGTCATGGAGCACATGCTCAAAAGGTTAAAATGGCAGACAGGAACATTTCTAGGCATGTTCAGCTTCTTTTACTCAAAAAGATGTTAGCTGAAACCAAAGCAAAGGACATTTCAAAGTACATTAATGTAGGAGTTTGCCCTAAGGGCACCTGCCCCACCTAGCTGCTAACAGTGTTATGACAAGACCAAGAAAGTCCAAAACTAACACAAGCCATGCTCCCCACAAATGTGCAAGATTAAGTTGAGGTTATGTCATTAAAAACAGGAAACTGCTAGGAAATCATGCAAGATAAAATATAAATAAATCCTAACATGGGTGTTATTGGCATTCTAAACACAGAGGACTGCAGAAATGAGAGAAGACCTCTGAATACTGAAACAAGAAGCATTTTCTGCCCAAGACAGGATTTAAGCGACCAGAGGGATACATAACAGATTAAGAAACGAGTTAGGGAGTTGGTGGCGTGCATGTGTTTTGGGAGGGTGAAGGACCTCATCCTGGATGGTCACAGTTATTGCTAACTGGACCTGGCCTCCCCCAGGACTGAGTGGGTAATGCCAGGAACAGTGATCTTACAGCTACCAGCTTTGTCTCGGGCCTCCCAGAGGCAGCTGAGTGGGAGAAACTCGCCACCAGCACTCTCACTATGTCGCTTTGCTCAGTTTGAGGCCATCTCTGCTAGCTCAAGTTCCCTGTCACTCTGAACAGCTCAGTCTACCTGAAGTCCCATTGGCCCTTGAGCTTTGCCAAGTGAAGTGAGTCAAGGAACTCTTCATCTGTGGAAATGCTAAAATCCAAACCAAATGTGATTTGTTCTGCTTCAGCATTTCCTTAAATGACTCCATTAGGGATGTCTGTGGCTCAGGCCTAATTAGCTCATAATGGGTGCAAAGCATCCTGGGATGCAGGCCTGGAGGGCATGCAGGGACCCTGGGGCCTCTGTGTGCAGTCTGGCCCTCTGCAGGATGACAGTGCACATTTGGTCATGTCCCATTACAAACAGTGCTGTTTAAATCCAGAAGGAGCTAAACCCATGACAGGTCTTGATGACAGAAAAAATCCTGCTTTTCTCTCAGTTATCTGGTCACCTGAGTTCAGCATGGAGGGAAGTCAAATTGTGGAGTTTAGATCCTCTGTCTGCCACATCTGCTCATGTAATTTTGGTTATATTGCTTTAATGAAAGGGATAACATTAATGCTTTCCATGTTAGGATTAAGCAGAACAATACATACACAGGGCCCAGTACCACGCCTGGCACATAGCAAGTCTCTGCTACTCTGTTTGGGTGTTTTCTGGTCCTAAGTGAAGGAGAGGGGTCTTTAGGTTTCCAAAATGAAGTTGGGTTTTTCATATTCCATGTAATTAATCCAAAGTTTGGAGATATCTTATTCTCAGGGCCTAAGAGATCTCCCTATGTGACAAATTCTTGTCACCCTTGGACATGGGAAACTTCATCTTAGAAAGAAGAAAGGACAATTAAAAAGTACCATTTAGAATAACTCTAAGGAACACATGATACCCAGGAATCACATATACAAACTTCAGAAAGGGATTTTGGAAGAACCACATGTGGTTCTGCCCTTGAAGCACTTAAGGTCTTAAGGAATGGTGATTAAGAAGCATGAGCAGTTAGAAACCGAGTCCAGAGATGGCAGGACAAAGGATAGGCCATGTGAAGCACCTCTGCTCACAGAATGTCATCACAACCTCTGGGGGAGGGGGAGAGGTAGTCACCTCCTGTGATCAAAGCTTCTGGCAGTAGAACAGAAAATAGATTTTCTCTCATTTACTGAAATACTGTGAAGCTGTCCAGAAGGAAGAGAGCCAAATTCATCCTCTTATCTGAGAAGTGGAAGTTTGCAAAAGAAAATATAGCAAATCCCACTCTTTCTTCAAGTCCATCTCAAAGATCAACCTCAGACAGAGCATTTCTGGATCCTCTGGCCAGGTGGGAACCTGCAGGGACAGTGGAAACACATGTCCCAGGCTCAGTGTTATGGATATAACATCATCCAGTTCCCCAGACCTGTCCAAAACCTCAAGCTCCAATACTTTACAGAGCACAGAATCCCATGTGTCTCTGGGTTCCAGGTCAGGGTTGCCCCCATAAAATATTCTGAGCTCCTGGAATATTTGCCCCTCTGGAGAGGCCCAGCAACCATGTGAAGGAAAAGCTGGTGGCCCCATGCCTGTCATATGGTTGCTTGGATCATCTCTTCACTGACAGGCTGACTTTTCCAAAACTCAAAGTCATCACTGAGCCCTTCTGGGTCTCTCTGTCAGCTTCAGGCTCTCTGCACTCCTGGAAGAAGGAGCTCTACAGGTAAACCTACCCTTGGGTCCCCTCCTAGTTCCAGCTCAGAACTCAGTTCCAGGTTCTCAATGGGGAACAGGTTGTGTGGGATGACCTCTACTCTCTGGCATCCCAGTTTGAGGCAGGGATGTGATTTGTCATCAGACCTTGTCTTAAATGGAGATGGCATCACCCATCTTGGTGGTGATGAGATCTGTTATAGAGGTTTCTGTCTACTCTCTGTCCATGTGGACACTCACTCATGACCACAACGATGTGATTTGGGCACCCAAGGTAAAAGTCAGATCAATCCCTTCCTCATTGCTCAAATTAAGAGATGAACTCCTCCAGAACAAATAAAAACTAACCACATTCATACCCTGGTGGCCCCCAAAAGACACATCCAGTCCTGTGACTGATGTATTTGGGGGAAAATGTCTTAGCAGGTGTAATCAAGTTAAGATTTTGACATTTGCTCATCCTAGATTTTCCATGAAGGTCCTGAGTCTAATGACAAATGTCCTGATGAGAGACAGGTGAGGAAAAGGCACAGATGGAGGAGAGAAGGTCACATGAAGAGAGAAGCAGAGATGCAACCATGCAGCCAAAACCCTAGGAATGCCTGGCGCCACCAGAGCAGAAAAGGCAGGAAGGGTCTTCCTCTACACCTCCGGAGGGAGCACAGCCCTGCTGACATCTTGGGCTTGGGCTTCAGACTCCAGACCTGTGAGAGAATGAATTCCTGATGTTTTAAGCCCCGAGTTGTGTTTACTTTCTCTGCAGCCCCAGGGCATAGCACAGAAGGTGTCTGGGGATGTAGGCTGCTCTCTCTGGACTTCAGTTTCCAGGACATAAAAAGATTGGTTCAACCAACCTCAGGGATTAGTCTTTAAAACCCTGTGGCTCTCTGGCAAACACCTAGAGGGGATTGCCTCATATTAAGCAGCTTGAGTGAGAGGAAGAGATGGACAGAGTCCCAAGTATATAACCATCCCTGAAAAGTCAGTGTTCACCCTACTCAATTTCACCCAGCATTGTACCCACTGAGGGGAAGCCAATTTGTGAAGCAGCAATACATTACAGGGTTTCCATAATTATTGTGGCACCTGCCACAATAGCTCCAACAGCCAGGGAAAAGCCCTTGAATCCTAGAATCTGAGCTTGAAAGAGGCAGCCCTGGGCCCTCGCTGCTGCCCACCATTTATCACTGAAGGATTAGGAGGAAAAAAGATGATGGGTTATTTTTGTGGCAGTGTTTTGTTTCCTGGAGGCAGCCCTGTTTTCATATGACATGTTTTATTGCATACAAATGAAGTTTTTATAACTATCTCTCTCATATATTTATCAGAAACCTGTCCATATCTACATCAATGCCTGCACGATATCAAAATGCACCTGGTAGAGACATGAACATCTAGTTCGTTAAAAAAGAAAATGAACTGTTTGCCCACTTTATGGAGACGTTAATGGTTTAATGTGGTCACACAAAGACTTAGTCAATACCTTGGTGACTGGGGGAAATAATGATAATATGGTAATGATAAGAGTAACAGTTACAGGCATCATTGTGAGTCCTTAGTCAGTGTGGAGCACTGTGCTAAGCGTTTAAAAAGCATTAATTCATCCAATCCTCACAAAAACGCCGGCAGATGGAAATTAAGAGGATTACCTTGTAAATTAGGAAATTGGGGCTCAGAGGTTTTGAATGATTTGCCAGACCTCATAGGCTGCAGAACTGGGACTCTAACTAGGTTTCCCTGCTCCAAGGCCTGTGAAAGTCATACCACCCATGCTGCCTCCAGTAAAAAGTCATGACAATCCATATTTAGGAAGAGGCTCTATCTCAGCCACAGGACCTGGAGGACCTGGAGGACCTGGAGGACCTGGAGGAAGGGGGCAGGCACAGAGACACACTTTTTGGGTTGCACCAGCTTTGTTACTATATATGTACTGTTTCAACAGAGAAGTGGGTTGGCCTTTGGGCAGGTTAATAAGGGATTAAGTTACATTAAGTTAGGTTAGTGTGCCTGCATTTGTGTGTGTATGCATGTGTTTGCATGCACACGTGTGCATTGTGTATTGGAAGTACATGTGTGTTTGTGTGTACATGCAATGCTTGTGTGCAGGCTATGTGCACTGTGTGATGTGTGTGTTTGCTCGCATGTGTACATGTCTGCATTTGCAGGAAGGTAGAGAAGGGGCTGTGAGGAGCTATAGTGAGCAGTTCACCAGGGGGTGTATCCCGTGATGTGCCAGCCACCCTTAAAACTGGTCTGTGATGCTGAGAAGAAAGTGGTAGCTAATCTTCTTAGGATTCTTCTAATCAAGTCCTACCTGACAGACTACTCTGAGCCTGCCCCTGAAAGGGACAAGGACAGGGAGGAATTGCACATCTCCATGCAGGCACAGGTCTGGATTTCTGCCAAGAACAATGCTGGGAATTAATTCCTCACAATCAACTTCTTCCTAAGGCCATGGGGAAGATCAAGACAGACAGCAGGCACGTGCATGTGGTCATGGGGCATTCTGTTCTGTGATGGGCACTTCTGTACACTCACATGGGGACATGGCCGAGGAGAGGGAATGTGAGAGCCAGATGTCCACTCATTACTTCTGCTCAGCACCTCAAAAAGCCTTGGTGCTTGTGTTTTTCAGGAATTTGCTGACTCTGTGTTCCAGCTGGTCACACAGAAGTTCCGAGAGCTTACAGTTGGCCTGACATCAGTGCACGCCCGCCACAAAGCACTGGCAGGAATTGTCATGACCAAAGGTAACAGCCTCTTCCATTTCCTGTGGAAATTTTTATCTCCAAAGAAAAGAATTTAGTGTTTACCTGGTCTTGGGAACTAAAGGATACTCTCTAGCACGCAAAGATGTGTTGTAGTTTTATATATCTATAAAATGGAAGGATCAGTATACTGCAGAGGGATCAGTATACTACACGGAGATCAGAATGCTAAAAGAGAGCTCAGTGACCAATATTATCACCAGGAACAACCATATTGACAATGGTGGTATAATTAGCTTGCCAAATCAAGTTTCTCTCGATTTCCATGAACAATCTGAAAAGACCTGTCTGGTCTACTTCCATTTGGTTTTTGCCCACACCTTGTTTTCAAGAAGAATCAGTGCTGGTATTGTTAAAGCTGAAATCTAAGGCCAGATCAGGCCACCAAATAAGTCACTTGAGACTGATAGGTAAGGAGATTCCCTCCTCCCTTGTCACCGCTAATGAATTTAAGACTAGGGGCTGATGCCATTGTTTGTACAGAACATATGTGTCCCCACATATGTTTGGACCCAGGGAAGGAAGATGGAGCCAACTTGGATGAGGGAAGCCAGGGGTGGAGATGACCTTCCAAGGTTGCTGGTTGTCAGAGTATCTGATTCCCATGACCAAACAGCATCCATGAGCCTGTCTCTGTGCAGACTTCACACATGCACTATCACTGGTGGGAAGCTATGAGAAGTGGGGGAGGTGGAAAACTAAGAGGACTTGAAAGAACACAGGTACCCAGGGGAACAAAGAGGACCCAGAGGGACAAAAGGGAATGCAAAGGAAACACTAGGGAGTAGGGAACCCAGAGAAGACACAGGGGGCCTCAGAGAGTACAAAAAGGAACACACAAGGGACACAGAGATCACAGAGTTTATATGAGCACATAGAACACAGGGGACCCAAAAGGATAAAGGGAACACAGAAGGGACACAGAGGAACTACAGTGAGAAGCAAAGTATGTAGAGAAATATGAGACACACGGGACACAGAGGAATAGTAGGGGAACACAAAGAGATGCAGGGGACATGGGGAAACACAGAGGACTACACAGAGACAAGGAGGCACATTTCAGAGACTCTGCCATCTGAGAGTTCAACATCTTTCTTGCTGGAGTATAAACTACCTGGTGGAAATCCCTCCTTCCTGCCAAGATTCTTCAACCCAGACATTGAATTCCATCCTAGAAAACAAAAACAGCCTAATCAGGAAGGAAATAGTCAAACCCAGTGGAATGTCACCTCTTCAATAAGCCAGGTTGGGAGAAAATGAAGATTCATTTTGAGGATCAAATTCATGAAAACGTCTCATTTCTAACCTGTATTAACTAACAAGCTGGTTATTTGAATTCAACTATTGGGGGGGCAGTACTGGAGTATGAACTCAGAGCCTCATACTTGCTACACATGTGCTCTACCACCTGAGCCATGCCCCCACTCCTTTTTTTGCTTTAGTTATTTTTCAGATAGGGTCACTTGTTTTTATCAAAGGCCAGCCTCAGGCCGCAATCCTGCTACCTACAGCCTCCCTTATAGCTAGGACCATAGCTGCACACCACTACATACAGCTTATTGATTAAGATGGGGTCTCACTAACTTTTTATCTAGGCTGACCTTGAACTGAGATCCTCCAGATCTCTCCCTCCTGAGTAGCTATGATTGCAGGCATAAGCCACAAAACCTGACCTTGTATTCAACTGTTTTTATTTCCAGTTTTGCATGAGTATGTAATGATCGATTAGAGAATGATTTTCATAAAGTAAAAAACAATTTGGGGGTAATTAAAGTTTCATAACCACACATGGCTCTGCATGTGTAAGCAAAGTCTGGGGCTAACAAGGACCATCTACCTGAATGCCAAAAATATTTACACTAAAAAACAAAAGATCAGATGATTGGCATATGTGTCTGCTGTTCTAGACCCCAGGGGACCTCTCCAATACTCAAGATCAGTGGAACAGGAACAAAATTCCCAGGACTGTCTTAGACATGCCACAAGGGCATGTGATTTTAGCCTTATTCCGATTTGGACACCTTAGTAAAATGGAAATAGCAATGCCTGCTCACAATGTCATTTGTTGAGTAAGATAAAGTGCATCAAATCCTTTGAAAGGTGAAAATTGCTTTATACACACAGCATCCTGTACTGAGCTAAAGCAATTCAGTTTTGTCAATGGTGTCATTGTATGTGGTGGCATGCCCCCTTGCCTTGGCCACTAACAGTTGCCCTCCTTTTACATTTGAGGACATTCACCTCTGTAGAAGAGGAAATACTCTTAACTGAGGGCTTAGTTCACCTCAACCAAGATCATTACTGCTGCCTGTGACCTTCTTCTATCCAGCCAGCAACCGTTAGTTGGATTCTTCTATCCACTGGGCACCATTCTGCATGCCAAGGGATGAAAGAAAGACATAATTCCCCACACTGGGTATAATAATCACTGAGGGAGCAGTAAGGGTCGTTCAGGCCAAGAGCGTGATTCTAGCCCTAGAGTGCTTAGGTTTGAATCCCAGCTCCCCATGCAACTAGTTCTGTGACCCTAAACCAGTCACTTAGCCTCTCTAGGAGTCAGTTTTCTCACCTTTAAAATGGGGATAATTTGAGGAATAACTGTCTAATAGGATTATTTTGAAGGTTAAATGTGTTTATGTAGATAAAGCACTTAGAAGTAGACCTAACCCATAATAAGAAGTATACATTAGTTACTAGTAGCAATGGTACTTTTGTATTCACAAATTATTTGAGTGCCAACCATTCTAGGTTCTAGAGAACAAACAAGAAGTAAAATATACCAAGTGCCTACCCTTGTGAATCATATATAGTTGGAAAAAGGCATTAAGAACAATTTAAATCCAGTACAAAAAGAATTCTAAAAGAGTTTTGTATACAAAGCTGTAGGACCAGTCAAGCAAAACTTTGGTAAATTAAAAAAATATATAGTGCCACGTCAATTTCTGCCACAGATTCCAGGATAATTCAGTGTGAATTAGCATCTTGATCTGCAAGGAAGAGGGGAAGAGAATGAGTGAAGAAGGAGAGGAAGCAACCACTGCTACTTTTTATTGTGAAATATCCTTCTGACCCCAACAGCATAAGTCACTATGACTTGGCAAGTCGTTTTTCAACATATCCTAGCTCTAAAGCTGTGATTGTCCAATGTCTGTCTACTTTTCTGGAAAACTCAACACTGGCAGGTTTTGGAAGATACTCTCAGAGTTCACATGGAAAACAGTAATATTTTACAAAGGCTTGTGGGAAAATGCTACTCTAAGTTGCCAGTGTATACACTATTTTATATGCAGGCAAGTTGTTCATTTATACAAACTTAGTTTATTATGTGAGAGTGAGACTTCACAATCAGTCATCTATAAACACTGGAGAATAAACTGCTGAAATTTGCTTTACTGTTATAAAGGGACTATTTACTAGAAATGCTAATTTATCTAGGCACCAGTGGCTCACACCTGGAATCCTAGCTACTCAGGAGGATCGCGGTTCGAAGCCAGCTGGGCAAATAGTTCAGGAGACCCCATCTCAAAAAACTCTTAACAGAAATAGGGCTGGTGGAGTGGCTCAAAGTGAAGGCCCTGAATTCAAGCCCCAGTACCACAGGGAAAAGAAATGAAATATTGATTTAGAAAAGCTTAGGAAGAAATGTGTACAATAAAGACTAGGAATATTTGTAAATATTCATTTGCTTAAAGTTAATGTGCCTTGTAACTTCATTCTACTTCAGATATTCAAGCAAATGCCTAAAGAACGCTAAGACTCAATGTGTTGCTCTAGTTGCTCCATGTATTATAATGCAATAAAAAAAACTTATTCTGAAATAAAACATAATTCAATTTGTACCTTCCATTTGTAGGTAAGATGCCAACTCATTTGTATCAATTAGCTCATGGAAAGTTCTTTCCATTAATGAGGTAGAGACCATTTTTAGCTATTATGAGAAAGACTATTCCATATATATACATATATATACACACATATATATACATATATATATAAACAGAATGATTTTTAAATTTTTTCTAATTAATGAAGTCATGTGGTAATCATTCAGATAGGAAAGAACTTATGAAAACCAATATTTTCTAGTTCCCTTGCTCACTTTTCCTCACTCTCTGAGGCAGCTATTTCTACCCAATTATTAATTTTGTTTATGGTACTAAATACTCTATTGATTCTACATTTGGACATCTGCTAACTCACACTATTACAGTCTGATGCCTCTTCATTTTCCATTTTTGTATTTGTAATTTTTGTAATTTATTTAATCTACATAACCTTTGTTTCATGGTCTATCAAAGTTAGATGCCACAGCTTCACTTCCTTTTATGTAAATGGAGGATGAAAACCCACCCTTTTCCGTACTAGCTCAATTTTCTCAATTATATTTTTAATACCATGATATTTATATTCTATTCTATACCCATAATTAAGTCTTCTATGTTTTGAGCAATTCTAAGAGTTGAAAACCACCAAACAGATCAGGATGCTGTAAACAGAATCATCAATTGCATTGAATTCCCCAGCAGCAGAGCTCTCCCCTTAGAGAGAACATCCATCGTATCCAGGCCACATAGATTCTCCTCACTTCCATCACTAGCTCAGAACCAACCATATCACACTTAAGTTTGATTCATGTTTACAGCTAGACTTTCTTTTCATTAACATGCATTAATGTACAAGGGTGTTTCGTTGTGATTCCAGCTAGATTTTCCATATTAGGAAAGTCCAGCTAAATTCTTTTTTCTTGCTGAAAACTAAATGAGGAAAGAGGATCCTTTAACACATTTGCTAAGTCATACAGCCTCCAAGTCACAAGTGTCCTCAGAATCACCCACTTCTTTCCCTAACAACCCCAGCAGGACCTTTGCCCCAGGACCATTGCTTCTAGCCTAGACCCACTGTCTAGGATCAATGCCTTCCTTCTGCTGTGACAGAGTGCATCCTCAAAAACATCCTTTTAAAATGTGTGGGGGAGGGCCCAC